ATTCACAATTTCTTAATTTCTTCTTCTTTCTTGCAGTGAGGTGAAGCTGACCTTGCACTTGGTGCCAGTAATGATGTTCCTCACGCAGGCTGAATGTTTCTCCCTCCTTACTGACACAGAAGCCCTTGATTTGCAATGCTTCACTAATTGTAATTTCCCTGGCTCCGTAGGGACACTTTACCTCCAGCACAGCGGAAGACCCTACCAGACCGTCTGGAGATGCCCCCAACAATCCTGATTGGGAGAGCCACAGACCTGACTCATGGACCTGCATCTGGGTTGCAGTGGTGAATACCCTGACGCCCTCACATTCATTCATAGTCCCCCACTGTACAGACAAAACACCATCAAGGGCCTGTTGTTGCCCAAGCACCCTGGCACTAAGGGAAGCAGTCACACGCTTTGACCTCAGGACAGCTCCAAAGTTGCTGGCAGTCAACCTTCCTTTCCTGAACAAATGCCAGTTTGGGTTGGTTCGCTGACCAGTGGTATTCACCTGAATTGCCCTCTGTTGCTCCTCAGACAATGCCATGCTTGCCACAATTGCCTCAGGTCCCTGATGCCCAACAGATTTGAGAATTTCAGGAACAGTAAGTGTTTCCAAGCTGTAGTGTTCCTCTTCTGGCTCGGGGGAGAGAAGCCAAGAAATTCCTGAGAACCTGCCCCCGAGTCTGTCCCTCAGCCAGTCACGATCTTCGGAGGTGGGCTCTCTTGTCAGCGGGTTGAATGAGTTATTGGTTGGAGGAAATAGCTCCACCACTGAATGCGTACGTTTAGCTGCCTTTGGCTTCTTCCACTGACAGGAGGTGTCAGTGCAGCTGAAATTGTGGATGGCAAAGATGGCTAATGCAGCCGCATGACTGCATTTCCATTCTCCACGTGGGCATTCACATTTTGTGGAGAGAATTCCCTCTTCTCCTGTAGATACCTGTGGTGGTGGGATTGTTTTATTATTTAAAATATATTTACATTTGTAATGCCTTCCCAATTGTCCCTTTAATTGTTTATATTTAATTGTAAATCAGCCTACTATCACCTAAAGAATATATCTAGGATTAAAAGACTAATGTCACAGCAGGATTTGGAAAAACTTGTCCATGCTTTTATCTTCAGTAGACTCGACTACTGCAATGGTGTCTTCACAGGTCTCACTAAAACATATATTAGGAAGCTGCAGCTAATTCAGAACGCCGCTGCTCGAGTCCTCACTAACACTAAGAAAGTGGATCACATCACTCCTGTTCTGAAGTCTTTACACTGGCTTCCTGTGTGTCAAAGAATAGATTTCAAAATACTGCTGCTGGTTTATAAAGCACTGAATGGTTTAGGCCCTAAATACATTTCTGACCTCCTGCTAAATGATGAACCATCCAGATCTCTCAGGTCTTCAGGGACTGGTCAGCTTTCTGTCCCCAGAGTCAGAACTAAACATGGAGAAGCAGCGTTCAGTTATTATGCTCCAAATATCTGGAACCAACTCCCAGAAACCTGCAGGTCCGCTGCAACTCTGACTACTTTTAAATCCAGCAAGAAGACTTTTCTTTTTGCCGCTGCTTTTAATTGAACTATTCATATCTTAAACTGCACTGTAACTTTTATCCATGTATTTTTTCTTTTCATGTTTATTTTATTAGCTTTTCTTTTTAATGACTGATTTTAAATGCCCTTTTCTTAATGTCTTTCATTTTTTGTAAAGCACTTTGAATTGCCTTTGTGTTGAAAAGTGCTATATAAATAAACTTGCCTTGCCTAATAAAGATTTCATGTGACACATAAAATGGATTTGTTGATGGGAATTAATGTGAATAAATTAACTCTAGGTTAACTCTTGCTATCACTACTCACCGACACTATAAATAGATAACAACCTGTCCTTCACTGCAAACATCGCTGCTACAACCCGTTGCTGCAGATACACACTTTACAACATCAGGAAGATACGTCCCCAGCTGACTCAGAAAGCGACTCAGGTTCTGGTCCAGGCTCTCGTCATCTCACGCCTAGACTACTGCAACTCCCTCCTGGCTGGTCTACCTGCATGTGCCATCCGACCTCTGCAGCTCATCCAGAATGCAGCGGCTCGTCTGGTCTTCAACCTTCCTAAATTCTCCCACACCACTCCGCTCCTCCGCTCCCTTCACTGGCTTCCGGTAACTGCTAGAATCCACTTCAAGACACTGGTACTTGCTTACCATGCTGCGAATGGATCTGGCCCTTCCTACATCCAGGACATGGTTAAACCGTACACCCCAGCGCGTGCACTACGCTCTGCATCAGCCAAACGACTCGTTGCGCCCTCGCTGCGAGGGGGACCCAAGTTCCCATCGGCGAAAACACGTGGGTTTGCTATCCTGGCTCCAAGATGGTGGAATGAGCTCCCCATTGACATCAGGATGGCAGATAGCTTGCACATCTTCCGGCGCAAACTGAAAACTCATCTCTTTCGACTCCACTTCGAGCGTTAGAACTATTAACGAAGCACTTTTATACTAATAAAGGGCTGGCTTACCTAAAGCCAGTTGAGTAGCACTTGAAATGTTTGGCTCTATGAAACCTGATGTACTTATATGATTCTGTTTTCTTCAAGGTTGTGTCTTCCTGGTCGAATGTACTTATTGTAAGTCGCTTTGGATAAAAGCGTCAGCTAAATGCAATGTAATGTAATGTAATGTAATAAACCTTGTCCTTCATGCTAGCCCTGACAACACCGGTAAGCACACCTTCATCTAGGCTGCACTGTTTTACGTGTCCTGACTTGTAGTGGTTCTCTCCTCTATCTACACTCTTTTTGTCATCTTTGTAAAACGATATCAGACTGGTAATTGACACAGCCATGACTTCTAGTTAAATTCAGTGTGGCTCAAATGAAAAGCTTTGTTAAAATATGCAAGCACGCGGAAGTCAAAGTCAGTTTTATTGTAAAAAATTCTACATGTGTTATACATCCAGAAATATTGAAATATCGTTTCCCACAGTGTGACTTGTATACATAAAACAAAACAAAAAGGGCCTAGATAAACGGGGTATACAGTTTAAAATGTTAATATATTTAAAGTGTTCAAAGTGCAGTTTCAGTGCAAGTCAGTTGAAACGATCTTAAATTGGCGTGACGTTGAAGTCGTGCGACCCTGCTGCTGTAGTGGCTTGTAGTTCGTTTATAGCATAACGTTAGCATTTTGGTTTTGGCGACTAGATTTATGATTCAAAAATTATAAAAGTAAAGTAGACATGTGGAGATTATCCGGCTGAACAAAACGTGATCCCTCTCTTAAATGTGTGTCAACCACAGACCTTATTTCCAGCTATTTTCCAAAATCCTATGGAGAAATTGCATTGGTTTTTGACGAAGGAACCGGAAGAAGTTTACATCGGGGTTTTACGACGCGTCACTGCGGTTCTCTATTGGCTCACACATAACGCGAGCCCTGCATGTGGCGTCTCGTCGCTCCGGTTCTCTCTTGTGTTCCTGAGAAAGTGTGTGTGAGCTCCAGCTCTACTGATCCATCATCTGTGTGTCTGGATAAACCTCTGAATGGACTCTGTGCTCTTTTTTCTGGAGCGTTTACCTCGGACTATAGGAGCTAGCTTAGCATGCTAGCTGGAAACACTAGTCAGATTGAGAGTTTGACGGAGAGAGAAACGGTGTGTTTAACGGAGTCTGCAGGGAAAGGTGATCTAGGAAACATGAGTAAAGTCCAGATGCTGCTGTTGTTGAAGAAGCAGCGACTCACTGCTGCTGCTGAAGAGATATTTGCTCTGTTTGAACAAACGATAGCAGAGCTCGAGGAGGAGCTGTTTCTTTCCAAAGAGGAGAACGAGAGACTCCAAAAACTACTGGACGCTGTTTTACAGCCTCAGCTTCGGATACACAGAGCAGATGTCCAGCAGCTGGTGGTGGTTAAAGAAGAGCTTCTCCCTGACCAGCAGGAGGGGAGCACCAGTCTGGACCAGGAGGACCCAGAGCCCCCCCCACACATTAAGCAGGAACAGGAGGGAGAGCAGCTTCAGGAGCTGGAGGAGGCTGATATCACCAAGTCCACTTTCACTCCTGACCCTGTGAAGAGTGAAGATGATGAAGAGAAACCTCAGTCCTCTCAGCCTCATCAAAGACAAACTGATCACATGGAAACAGAAGCTGATGGAGAGGACTGTGGAGGACCAGAACCAGCCAGGAGCTCAGATCCAGAGAGCAGTTTACAACCAAAGACTGAGGACCACACTGGAGACTCTTCTGAAGACACTGATGACTCTTCTGAACCTGACACTGAAGACTCTTCTGAACCTGACACTGAACACAGTGCTGATTGGAAGGAGACCAGAGAATCTGCCTCAGGCTCAAACTCACTGAAAAATAGACAAGAATCTGTCAGTGATCCCCGACGTAGTGCTGGAAAGAACCCATTCAGCTGCTCAGTCTGTCAGAAAGCTTTTAGATATAGAAAAATACTAGATCAACACATGAGAGTCCACACAGGAGAGAAACCCTTTCGCTGCTCAGTCTGTGAGAAAACTTTTTCACGGAAGGAACATGTAAAGGATCACATGAGAGTCCACACAGGAGAGAAACCCTTTCGCTGCTCAGTCTGTGAGAAAACTTTTTCACAGAGTGAAAATGTAAAGACACACATGAGAGTCCACACAGGAGAGAAGGCATTCAAATGCTCAGTTTGTGAGAAAGCTTTTTCACAGAATATACATTTAAAGAAACACATGAGAATCCACACAGGAGAGAAAGCACACAGCTGCTCAGTCTGTAAGAAAGCTTTTTCACAGAGTGGAAATTTAAAGACACACATGAGAATCCACACAGGAGAGAAAATATACAGCTGCAATGTGTGTGACAAAAGATTTAAATGGCGTGGTCATTTCAAACGGCACAAGTGTGTTGGTCGTCAGTCCTCACAGCTTAATGAAAATAACGGAGAGGCAGAGCCTCCAATCAGCAGCTCAGCTGAACACATGGAAACAGAAGCCGATGGAGAGGACAATGAATAAGTCTTATGACTGTTCACACGTGAGAGAAATCTGTCTGTGGACAATATGTTTCATGTTTTTGTCATTCTGATGTATACGTTAACCACTGACTGTTGATGAACCACTGCTCATTTAAGGTGGACTGACCTTTACAATGGACCAGCTAGTCTTAGTGTCTTAATGCAAACGTTTTGTAAGATGACGTTAGACCAACAACGTGCTGTTGGGCTGTGTGCTCTCTGCAGGATGGTGTCTGTACTCAAAGGTTGTTTATGGTATGAGAGCTTCACTCTGCTTTTGTTGTCCAAACGACGCCAACAGAGCGATACGTCTTCTTTCCAGCAGATGGCATACATGTTACATCATCCAGTTCAACTGTCATCCACATAGTAATGATTCAAAACAGCAATGTGTGAGACATGGCTAGTAATTGACTCACAATCTCAACAGAATGTGAAGAGGTTACAGTCTTGCGGTTATGTCCAAGATGTTGTTTTTTGTTGTTGTAAGAGATAATAGGGATTGATGCAGACAATAACCAGAAGATAGTCTGGATAGAGCCTTCAAAGAACCAGAAAGCGTTTTGAAGATTATTAGGGATATAGAAAGAATACAAATATTACAAATTATTATATTTTTTGCAGTGTCAACATCTACAAATGTAAAAGTATTCATTTATTAATAAATCATATTTGTTATAATTATGTATTTTTCAATTTGTTCATCACCTTAGTATTGAAGCTGATAAAGTTGGAGCTATTTTTAATAGCAGTATTGGCTATGCTGCTTGGTAGTTTATTTTTTGTTGAAATACGAAATAATTCACGAGTTGATTTTATTTTGTATAAAAATCTGTAAAATAAAATTGTGCCATAAAAAGACCGGAGGAAAGGCCCGAGCCAAGGCTAAGACCCGCTCCTCCCGGGCCGGGAGTTACCCATCTGAGGAAGGGTAACTACACCCACCGTGTCGGTGCCGGAGCCCCGGTGTACCTGACCGCTGAGATCCTGGAGCTGGCTGGAAACGCCGCCCGGGACAACAAGAAGACCCGGATCATCCCCCGCCACCTGCAGCTCGCCGTCCGCAACGACGAGGAGCTGAACAAGCTGCTGGGAGGAGTGACCATCGCTCAGGGAGGCGTGCTGCCCAACATCCAGGCTGTGCTGCTGCCCAAGAAGACCGAGAAGGCCGCCAAGAAGTGAAGACCCTGAACCCGCTTCAACAAACACCAAAGGCTCTTTTATCCAGAGAGCTTTCCTTCATCAAACCTGTGCCTCTATTATATAGTGTTGAAGAGAGGATAAGTGTATGTTCCTTATTTGTGATTATATTCTATAAACTATGAAATCTCAAAGCTTTTATCTGGGTTTCCAAGCAGTCTGTAAACCATCACATCAACTTTATTGTCAATCTTTCATTTTCCGCTTCCCACAATCCAGTCAGAGGAATACAAATATATATATATATATAAACGTGCATATAAATATATATATACAGTATAAACATATTTATACACGATCTATTCATGTTTTTATGACACTCATATAACTGCTAATACAGATCATGTTTAATAGACTTTAAAGTGTCTAAATACCTGTCACTTGAAGAGTAATCAGGGTCCTTACTAAAATATAAAAAGTTACCAGAAAACAAAAAACCCTAACCAACCAAAAGTACTACAAATGCGGAAGGATCCCGAGCTGGTCAGTGAAGGTCCTCATGTGGTTCTCCTTTACGTCCGCAGATAAGATTTAAAATCTGTCGCTAGTCGGAGTCAACTTGTCAAAAATGTCTGGAAGGGGAAAAGGAGGACATTTGAACGAGCCGACATAGCGATACCCGGAAATGAGAGGAAGAGGAGGGATTTTCTTCTTAAACATCGAAGAATAATCTGATAGAAAATGTAAACATTATTCTAAGTAGGCCTATAGTTGACGGTTTGATGATTCGTTCTGAACGACCTGTTCCAACAGACTCGAAAATGATTGGAAGAGGAAAGGAAGGAGGTGAAAAAGGGTGAAAAAAATACAAAATATATATATAAGAAAATGTCTCTTCCTGGAAGCGTGCCATCTTTTGCTTCAACATTTGGACAGTTTTGGGTTTGCCTGAACTTCACAGGCTCAGGAGAACCCCCAAGTCGTGAATATGTTGGAGAATCACTATTATTTGATACCTGCTGGATCAATACAAATGATGTGTATTCCTTCATTGCACTGTCAAACAGAAAGGAGTTTGAACTTTGCTTTTTGCTAGAAGCTCCTCTGAGAAGTTTTCTTGATGTTCTCGCAACTAAAACCTCAGATCCCAAGTGGAAAGACTGGACTTTCGAATCTTCCATTCAAATAGATATCTCAAACATCATTGTTCAATTCTGGACTGGCCGTATTCCAGACCATGATGTTGAGACCTATTTGAAGAGATATGGAGATATAATCAGCAAATACAAACCAATAGATACATTTGGGATATGGTATGGAGTGAGAAAATACAAAATGAAGAGGAACAGAAACTGTGATGGTGAGATCCAAAATCTCCCAAATTCGATATCTCTCGGCCCCTATAATGGGAGAATCATTTATCCAGGGCAACCCGTCACCTGTTTCATCTGCAACTCAGCTGACCATCAGGTCAGAAAATGCACCACAGTGAAATGTTGGAGATGCAATGAACTGGGCCACAAGGCTAAAGATTGCAATTCAGACAGTCTCTGCAACCTGTGTGGAAAGATTGGGCACACCTTCTTCAACTGCCCATCTTCTTATGTAAACAAGGCAAACACCCAGCAGCAGCCTGGTCCTCCTTCAGCCACCCAGCAGCAGCAGCCCAGCAGCAGCCTGGCCCTGGTCCTCGTCCTGCAGCCCAGCAGCAGCCTGGCCCTGGTCCTCGTCCTGTAGCCCAGCAGAAACCTGGTCCTGGACTCCCTCCAGCCACCCAGCAGCAGCCTGGTCCTCGTACTTCAGCCCAGCAGCAGCCTGGCCCTGGTCCTCGTCCTTCAGCCCAGCAGCAGCCTGGTCCTCGTACTTCAGCCCAGCAGCAGCCTGGTCCTGATCCTTCAGCCCAGCAGCAGCCTGGTCCTCGTCCTTCAGCCCAGCAGCAGCCTGGTCCTCGACCTGCAGCCCAGCAGCAGCCTGGTCCTGATCCTTCAGCCCAGCAGCGGCCTGGTCCTCGACCTGCAGCCCAGCAGCAGCCTGGTCCTGATCCTTCAGCCCAGCAGCAGCCTGGTCCTCGTCCTTCAGCCCAGCAGCAGCCTGGTCCTCGTCCTTCAGCCCAGCAGCAGCCTGGTCCTCGACCTGCAGCCCAGCAGCAGCCTGGTCCTCGTTCTTCAGCCCAGCAGCAGCCTGGTCCCGATCCTTCAGCCCAGCAGCAGCCTGGTCCTGATCCTTCAGCCCAGCAGCAGCCTGGTCCTCGTCCTTCAGCCCAGCAGCAGCCTGGTCCTCGTCCTTCAGCCCAGCAGCAGCCTGGTCCTCGTCCTGCAGCCCAGCAGCAGCCTGGTCCTCGTCCTTCAGCCCAGCAGCAGCCTGGTCCTAGTCCTTCAGCCCAGCAGCAGCCTGGTCCTCGTCCTTCAGCCCAGCAGCAGCCTGGTCCTCGTCCTTCAGCCCAGCAGAAGCCTGGTCCTCGTCCTTCAGCCCAGCAGCAGCCTGGTCCTCGTCCTTCAGCCCAGCAGCAGCCTGGTCCTCGTCCTTCAGCCCAGCAGCAGCCTGGTCCTCGTCCTTCAGCCCAGCAGAAGCCTGGTCCTCGTCCTTCAGCCCAGCAGCAGCCTGGTCCTCGTTCTTCAGCCCAGCAGCAGCCTGGTCCTCGACCTACAGCCCAGCAGCAGCCTGGTCCTCGTTCTTCAGCCCAGCAGCAGCCTGGTCCTCGACCTACAGCCCAGCAGCAGCCTGGTCCTCGTTCTTCAGCCCAGCAGCAGCCTGGTCCTGGTCCTGATCCTTCAGCCCAGCATGGATAATACATTAAAGAGTAGTGTTGTTAAGCCTGATTGCTGGACGATTAAGGATATTAACATTATCTGTGATAATAGTAGAAATATCTTATTATTCAATCTGAAAATATTAATTAATTAATTTTGTTTAGTGCGAAAGTGTAACTGAGGTGCTGATTGGCTCAAACTCTTCGTCATTAGAGCGCCATATTTCAACCCCCCAATTGCTCTGCTTTTGTGGCTCATTCAGTGAGCACTGTAGTTGATCCCCCAGTGAAATGAAGGCTCATCTGCCTGCATTCCTTCTGCTATCTGCTTGAGAGCAGTGCAACTGCGTATTCCAAGTGGCGCATCCAGGTCTCCCCCCGTGATGGGAGAGGTTAGGAAGACATCTGCTCCTCCAAGAAACAAGGAACCTTGTATGACGCCTCTGAAGTCCTCGCTCGTCCCGCAGGGTTGTCTGCCTGAGCCCACTGAGCAGAAAGGTGAAGAATCATCCCATCTCCTCAGATAGTTGAAGATTAGAATCCTCTCATCTCGAACGACCTCGTGCCTCCTTGCCCGTGGCTGGGGGTGCCCTCTGCAGCCGGAGAGTGTGACCCTCTCTCTCTGACCCTTGGCCTTCAGAGCTGTCCTAGTTATTGGGTTAACACTTGATAGGGATGTTTTCCTGAGTGCAGACAACTCAAAGTAATGGATTTAGTACATTATCATTTAATTACAAAAATAGGATAGGCCCCTCAGAATTATTTGGGAGCCTTCCTGACACATGCACATGCATAAATGTAAGTTTTGTGTTAGTCATTTTAACATGCAAGAATCATATACTCATCAGTCCAAAGTAGAGAAATGTTATTGTAATTTAAAGGTGAGCTAGTCCCTGCGGATATCACTCCTTCTCAATGATTCTAAATGTTATATGAATTCACCATTTGATAAAATATTAGTTTATCAGAAATATATATTTTTCCTCTTCCATAAAACATAGGTTTGAGAAATAAATTATCCAATATAAAATCAATTACTCAATATAATTGACTCTTCCCTCCCTTTTCTTACATATGTCACATATGAAATAATAACTTAGGAGTCTATTTAAGCATGGTGTAGTTTATAATATATTACTCGAGAAGACTCAGTATCACCTGTGTGCAGCTTACAAAAAAAAATAAAAAATTGTGAGAAACATATATTATGCAGGAAATGTATACCTTTGTTGAAAAACAAAGCATATCTGATTTGGGAGGAAAAGCTTCATCCCCTTAACATCTGAGTTACCACTGCATGAATGATATTGGGTGCCTGAGGGTGTTATTACTGAGAAATGTCAAACAAATTCAAAACCTTACATTTGAAAACAGGTTTGCATTCCTCCACTTAAGGTGACGTTATCATTGGAAACAATAAAAGCTAATTGTTTTGATGTAGAATCTATCAATTTAATCGTTAGAACAGAATGGTCGTATTGTAGCCTGAGTACCGTGCAGCCTTTAGTTTTACCAGGTGGAAACATTGTCCATATAATGTGAATACATCTATAACTAAGAGGCCCCTGACATTAGGCCTATTTTTAAAAATAGTAGGGGCTTTTAACAGCTTGCCAACCTACAGGCATCCTCTGCATAGCAGTATGAATAGCCTTAAACAAAAAAAAACCACTCTGCGGTAACGAGAGTCATGTGTCTGACCCAAATGCCCTAAGTGAAGCCGTTAGTCCCATCTGACTGACCCAAGGGTTGGTATTGGTGTGGCGGGGAGGCTTCCAGGTGTTCAAAGCAGATGTCAAGCTTTTAGTTCATGGCTCGGTGGGGGGAGCAGACCCACGTGAGACAGTATCAATGGCTGTAATGTTCAGTTTGAGGAGCTGGTGTCCATTCTCGGACCAGACCATTAATGTAATTTCATGTAGAGCAGCCATAGCATCTCTGTGACTGCACTCAGCCGGACTGTAGCAGGGTAGAACTGGGTGACTCTTAGTGAAGCCGTCCAAGGCCATAGACAAAATGGAACCACGTACCAACAAAAGGGACACAAGGTCATCAATGTCTCTCTTTACCATTGGCCTAATTGCACAACAAATGAGTGGAAAAAATGTGGAGCACTAATCCATCATGTGAAATGTTGAGTTAATCTAAATAATTACTTATGGGTTGAAATCAAATTAACATTAACATTAGAACTAAAGTCAGTCAAAATTGGACTTGCACGGATCAGAATCTAAGCAATACACCATTTTCCCAGCTCTGTAATGAAAAGGATAACAAGATTAGGTACATTACA